TAAGCTAAAATTTGTAGGACACCTCACTGGGTTTATATTTGAAGCTACATTGAGTTTTCCAACGAAGACAATACATTCTGTTCTCTTTTATAAAGGGATTGTATCAATTACTTGAGTCTAGAATGACTATCCGTTGCAAGAAACAGGATCTTCCCTTAGTAAAGGTAAGGATTTTATGTATATTAAGACAAAATGGAAATGAAATAGCATTTGATCCCCCCCAAAAGAAAAAATCCTTATAACTACATTACAAAAACCACAGAATCCCATATCCTATTGATCCTAATTTTTGTTAAAATAACTGAGGGTGATGGTCCTTTGGTGATGCCCAGGGCTTGAGCAAAGCAGCAACACAGGTTGTGTGGTTCCCATGTGAGGTCCTTGATGCTCACTGAGCTTGATTATTTTCTTGCAGGTATTTCATTACCCAACTAGGTAACATCATCAGTGCTAGTAAGGAATGGGGTTTGCTCTCACTTTATATTGTATTGTATGCATCCTCCAATTGTTGCTTATTCTGCTAAATGAAAACACGCCAATGCTGGTTCCTTTGATCTCTGGAGATGTAGTGTGTGCTACATCGAGCTCCCATTGGGACCTCAACAACAATGTATGTGTGTTTTATCTGCAATGGGAACAGCATGTGTGGAAAAACTGAATTAGATAAACTTACTCTGTTAGATCAGTTCTGTCCCTCCCTGACAATGGCATTCAAAAAGGTTTCTTCATCATTATATGCCTGTGTTGTTTTACTGGAAATATTAACAAGTGATTCTAAGCCTGCAAGGACTGATACAAAGTAGATGTTCTTTTGCTGACCTACAAGTATTTATTATTCTTCCATCCCAATCCTTTTGAGAGATCAATGAGTAGTTGCTGTCAAACTTGGGAACTTCCATACCAAGAGCCGTCAAGCTACCGTATTTTTCGGAGTACAAGACGCACCAATATTTTGAAGAGGCAAATTTAAAAAAAAAGTTTTTGCACTCTGCAGACCTCCCCAAAACAGCCCATTTTTCGTGAAAACAGGCCTGTTTTGTTTTTTTTTGGACAAAGAAAAGGCATGGATAGACTTTAGCAGGCTTATAGAGTGCTTCTGGGGGCTGGGCGGGGCAAAAATGAGCAAGAAATGGCTCATTTTTTGCTCATTTTTGCCCTCTCCAGCCCGCAGGAGCACTCTGGAAGCCGCCTAAAGCCTATGTATGGCCATTTTTGCAAAGCAGGCGGGCAAAAAAATGCTGTATTCAGTGTATAAGATGCACCCAGATTGTCACCCTCTTTTTTGAGGGAAAAGGGTGCGTCTTATACTCTGAAAAATACAGTAGCTCTTCTGTCTTTTGACAGAAATAAATAAGGTTAGCAGTTTCTAACTGTTGTAGCTGGGAGCATGTGGGGTGTGTGTAGAATTGAAGGTAGTACAGCTTTAGTTAAATTCAATCGTTGCTATGTGTTTAGGAACTGGAATAGAATCAAACAATTTTTTTATATAAATGTGTATGAATCCTGTTTCAGAATGCAGTCCAGAAGTGTATTCCAATGTACAAAACTGCCACCAAAAAAGATGTTGATGTTCATGTTGATCAGGACAATTTTCTTCCAGAAGACATGTAAGCAAGAAACACAGCTAGGAAAAAATAACTTGCTGAAACTGTTTAGTATAGTGATGGTCCTTGTTTTAAATAGGGCTTGCATAAGGTAAATGAACTTGGGATTTTCTCATATGAAATGCAGGTTAATGGGAATTTGCACTGTCCTATACCTGATAGCATATATTGGGCAGACCCAGTGGTCTTGGTCTTTCCTTTTAGGTCAGGAGGTTAAAACTAATCCTGTAGGTAGGTAGATTTGTCTGTTCTGATCTTTATAAATTGAAACAATGATATTTAGACCCTGGGCAACCTATTTTGGTTTACTGGTTTTATTTATATACCACTATTTCTCTTTTATTTTGGTTTTAATTGTGTGTGTACCTCCCAGATTCACTACTGTGAGATGAGAAGCTTCATAAATTGCCTTACTCCTCCCTCCCTCATCAGATTTCTAACCATCATAATGAATGACAAAGAATAGTGGGAGTGATTTCATGTGCCAGCATGTTCATTAACATGTCTTTTTTTCTTCTAGAGCTGGAGGTGTTGAAATTTATAACAGTGACAATAAAATTAAGGTAGCTAATACACTGGAAAGTCGTCTGGATCTCATTGCTCAGCAGGTACCCCTAGAAACTTTTCTCTTGTATGAATGGTTTTCCATTTAACTCATTCAATTCTTGGGTCAGCCATGGTTTTGCTATGGGACATCATGGCAACTTGAGGGCTGGGATCTAAAGCCCACTACTACCATCAAACAACACCCCCGACACCAAGAAAAGCTATCTGGGGGCCGCTTGATTTAGAAACGCTCCTCTGTCTTGGGATTTCAACCTTTTCTCTTATGTAAGCTCTTTGCCCACAATCTAGCAATTTCTGGAAAGTTTGTGAGATGTGAGGCTTGGCTCGACTACCGTTTTTACCATAAGCATTCATCAGTATTTAGAAGTAGAAGATCTTATTGCCATCTATTTATAAGGTGGTGTTTTTTTGTGGTCCGCCAGCGGCCAGCAGAGCTGGTAGCAGAGTCGGACAGTGAGGGGGTTGGGGAGGAGCATGGGCCAGTCCTGGAGGCTGGGTAAGGTTCGGACAAAGGCTCTGCATCAGAGGCAGAGATGAGGTCGAGGTCGTCTGGCACTGATCAGATGCCGATGGAGCTAGGCAGAGGAACCAGTGTGGGCATGTGCAGAGCTGCCAGAAGAAAAGAACAACTCAGAAATCAGGGTCAACTTGGGAGTAAAGTCACAGTTGGAAGGTGATTGGCTTTCCACCTGTAGGAAGAGGAGTGAAAGGGGAGTGGGCTTTTGCAGGAAACAGTTTGTTCTTTCAGTTGTTAGATTCGTTTCAGGAGTGTGAAGATCTGTCCGTGAATCTCAGAGACTCTGTGCCCAGTCTTCCCTTGCACAGCACCTC